TAAATTGAGATGGGATATTGTTCTGAAAGATATCTCTGACGTGAGCAGAGGTTATCAGCTTGTTGCTTAAATCAGGAGATGAAGGTAACGCCACTAACTCTTGCAATATTGGTGGTGAAGGGAATTTTTTTTTAATGTCTAGGCTGCTAGAGTATAAAGATCACAAGAGGATCTCAGTTTTCATTTTTTTTTAAACTGCCTAACCCTTGTGGCTTTAGAAAGAGCTGAACAATGCGACTTGAGGGCAACCTGAAAGACTCAGAAAGCAACTAAAAAGGCCCCCATGGTTGGTTTGAAAAAAAAAAAAAAAAAAAGAAGCAGCCCAAAACCTGATGATGACATTTTAGGCAAGACACATGACTGGAGGGGTGGGGGAGGAGGGTTAGTTAATATGCTTAAAAAATTAAATTAAATTAAATTAAATGGTTGAAGATACTGTAGAATTTTCTGCCACTGCTGAAACTTCCTTAGCATGACAAAGGGTTTTTGAACCCGAAAGCTTGCTTAATAACTTTTCTCCAACTATTTGGGTTGGTCTAATAAAAGATATCAAATTCACCCAAGGAACCTTGTCTGCCTATGTCCTTAGACCAACACGGCTACAACCTAAACCCCTGCCACCTGTGTCACACTCCCTTTACTTTGCAGGCTGGATCTGGCCTGTGGAGCCATGTAATTTGACCTGCAGGGCTCCTAGAAGAAGGGCCAGGAATTTGGGAGGCAGAGTAAGAGGGGGTGGGGTCCACCGACAAAACCCACAGTATCACAGCCTCCTTGGGGATATGTTTTGGTGAGGGTGGGGGAGGGCGAGTGAGGGCTGCATTTGCCTTCCTGGCTCCTGGATGCTACTTTGTCCAGATCCAGCTCCCACAAAGTCCTGTGGTTGGGTGGGTTTGATGTGCCTTCCCCAGGGGATCGCAGTGGATCCTTCCAGACATAGTGCTGGGCATCCAACCTGTCTGAAAACTGGTTTGCAAAGAGGATTAGGCAGCTTGTAAGAAACCTCAGAGGTCCATATCCTTAGCTAGTGTTGGTTAGATCCATGTCAACTTACTCTGACTGATGACAGGGCCCATAAGTAGCGGGAGGAAATATTAATTGGAGGGGCTGAGCATTGCGGGGTGCGCCTGCTTGACCCCTGCCCCTCTCTCCCACAGGGCCATTGTGGGGGCCAGCGCACACTGGTGCTGTTTGCATGGTGGTGTGGAGCATGTGGCGGGGGCACTGGGCTAAGCACTGCAGCAGTGGGGCACGGCGGTTGTGCTGTCCCAGAAGCCATAACATTAGTTTGGGGAGGTTAAGCACTATTAGACTTGGCCTGCTGCTGCCTACAACAGGGCCCATTTATATGTAGCCCAGTGTTTGCCGTGATATTGGGACCAGACAGTGGGAAGCCAAGTCTCTGCTGGATGGTTTTAGTCTGGAAGGGGCATGATCTGATTTTTCAAGCTGCCAGTAAGTTTTCTTTATTAGGTAAATGCTTAGAGCAATTTTTCACTTTTGTGGAATGTGAATGTGGAATCATTTTAAGGTATCCATCCAATAATATGTAGCATGCCACAGTTTTAATCTTTTTGTTGTTACCAGTGTTTGCAAGGTATCAGAATGCCTGAGAAATTGAGATGCAAAAATCTAGGACTCTTGGTTCCAAAATTATACCTTTTATTAGACCAACTGAGAAATTGCAAAAATATTATTTTTCTACAAGCTTTCGGGCTCATGCTCCCTTCATCAGGCTCAGGGAAAGTTCAAGATGGTAAAAAGTCTCCATATGTAGTAAATAAACTTCATTTTTGCACAGAGGAAGCAGAAGCTGGAAAACTGTCCCTCTAGGTCCATGAGAGTCTCTTTGTGATCTTGCTCTTTCTTGTGTAGATTGAGCAGGATTTCTTCCCTGGTGGTGTCAGGTGGCAGGCAGGGAAGGGTAGAAATCTGTCTTCTTGTTCAGCAATGAAGTTTGTAATCCAAAATTGGCTAAAATTTGGCATCTTCCCTGTTTCAGGGATGTATGTGGTAGCTTCTGCTTCCTCCGTGCAAAAATGAAGTTTATTTCCTACATATGGGGACTTTTTACCATCTTGAACTTTCCCTGAGCCTGATGAAGGGCACCATGAGCCCAAAAGCTTGCAGAAAAAGGGTTTTTTTTCAATTTCTCAGTTGGTCTAATAAGAAGTATCATTTTGGAACCAAGAGTACATCTAGATTTTTTTCATTTCTTTTCGTCTCAGACCAACACAACTACCACATACATCCTAGAGACACTGAGATGAACAGCACCAGATGTGCTGGTTGCTCTAACTATTAAGGGTTTAGATGCTTCCATTAATTTAATTTTCTGCTGCATTGATGAAGCCAGGTGCCTTTTGCTTGCTGCGTAGCTAGCACGTATGATATTTACAAAAGGTGGAGCCCTTGTGATGTGCATGATTCTGTTTTATGGAGTAGAAATATTTAGAAAGTAGGATGGTGTTCTAAAGATGACCTGTCCTTCATATGTCGAAAGGTAAATAACGTTATCAAACATAAGTTGTTTCCTTTTCTCCCACCCGTGTTTATCTGTTCCCATATTTCAGTTCCTTTGCACACCATTGGCTCTTCATTGGCAAAATAGTATTTTGCTCTTTAAGCAAGTCTAGAGAACCCTTATACAAATCACAGGACTTGAAGTTCTTATTCCAACAAGGAATTTGAACCATAAGGTCTTATTTTGATCACCTTTATCCTGGCGTCAATTGGAAGCAGCTCTGTTGAGGTCAATAAGAATTTTGGCAGTAGAAAAGCAGCAGGGTGGGAGAATCGTGCTCATGTCCTTTACACCATATTCCCCTACAGTTTTGTTTCTTGGCCACTTGAAGTCCCATTGCAAAGATCTCCCCAAATTCTGTCTTGTCAGACAGACTACATCATCTGAAAATTCTGTGACCTTTGTTTCCCTAGAACAGTGATTCTCAACCAGGGTGCCCTGAGATCCTTTCAAGGGTGCTATGGGGTGCCACTCAATGTTAGCACTGCTTGCAAGTCTGCAAGCCATTTTTGAAAATCCTGCCAGGGATTTGTTTGCAACTTAAGTACCTGGTGAAGCATGGCCCTTCATGGTTAACATGAGTAGTCAGAAACAGAACTGGCACGAAGTAGAACACCCCTGCAACATTAACTGCTGTGAAGAACTGTACTTTCAAGCCACTCTCACACAAGTTGGCTGAAGGTTACTGTTGTGTCATTGTGGCAGGGCACCTTTGGTGCCTGCCACTTTAAGAGGCTTGAACAGGCTGTGGAGCAGCTGGCAGGTGTGTTGCAGCTTAAGGAGGCAGTCACATGACCACAAAAGGGCTTCTGGATTGGAGGATGGGACTGGGCAGTCTCAGTATAAACCCAGGCCCTCCTGGGCAGTTGCTACAGGGAGCGGGAGGGATAACACCCGCCTGGTGGCTCCGGGTAGGAGCTATGGGGATGGAGGAGGTTCCAGATCCTGGGGAATGACCTAAAACTATACCCTGAAGGGGTAGGATGGTGTGGTGGGGCTGCTTGTGGCCCCAGGAAATGTTACACCAGTGCCTCCCTAGTGAAAGGCAAGGATGGGGCACCATATAGCCTCAGCCCCCACAACCTGGTGGATTACCCAGTAGAGGGGACAGGCGAGGGGTCCAGGCATGTCATCAGACCTGAGACTCAAGGGACATAAGGCCGAGAGCCCCAGTGAGGGGGCAGAGTAGTGGACGCAGTGTCACAGTCATACAAAGGCTCATGTTCTGCATAGTGACCAGTCAGAACTGGGAAACCAAATGAAGCAGCCCTCTAGGTTGCGTGGCTTTGAGTGATTACTGAACAATGCAATGAGGAGAAATGCTGTACACTCTCTCTAGCCTGTTTCATTTAAGGGACAGACATCCATGGGATACATAAGCCACAGGTCTTCCTTAGATTTCCCCATTGATCCCAAGTAGAGGCCACTGCTGCATTCTTATTTTAGTGACCTGTGCTATGCTACACCCTATACTACTGCTGTTCTTGAGGTTCCAGTAACTCTTTTGGCTTTAGGTGAGTCGCTCCTGGTTTATATCAATCAATGTGAGCTCAGAATTGGGCCCTATTGTCTTTTTATTTTGCATTTCTGAACAAAAAAACCCTGTTTACTTAAAGGAAATCAAGCAGGTGGGAGCCTGCTATGGTTTGGCATAGTTGTTTTCTAAATGTAGCTTTCTGCAAGTCTTCTTTTTGCACAGATGCTTCGTGTAGAGTGGTCTTGATACAGAGGATACTGTTTGTATGGGAACACTTACGTGGTTTTATCATATTTATTCTGCCTCCAAACCTTTGAAAATGAATACTTGCTATGTGTTACAAAATATATGCTTTCCCAGAGGCCGTTGAAAAGGTTTTCCTTTTTCCATATCCAAAAATATCAACTCAACGTACAAAGAAAATGGATACTCTAGTTCTTATTCTTATAGTGAATTAGAAAAATTCAAAATTCCATAAATGCACTTTTCTTGCTCCTTTTCGGTTCCATGCATCTTATTTGAACAAAGTATTCACTGACTCCATCAGCTTTTTCTGACCTTTTGTATGAATACACCATATTCCAAAAAGCTTAAATGACTACACACAAACTCCAGTCTTGGCATTAAATAATAAAAGGCAGCAAAAATACCAAGTGAGTACTTGTAGTGACTATAATTTATTCTTCCTTTTTTATTTGCCCATACTTTTCATGCCTTCTTGTTCATGTCAATTAATTGTCTACATTTCTTATTAAATTGGCTAATTTTTCTGTGAGAGTCTTTTTAGTCTTAGACTTTTCTTTCCTCTTTCGGAATCCTATTTGCAGTGTTATCTAGTCCAGTCTATTAAAGGAATAGATCATGGCAGGCATTTTCAAAAAGCTTTTTTCTTCTTCTATGCTTCACTGGCTAATTAAAGAGGTGGTTGCTAAGAGATGACAGAAAGCATCATTGAGAGCCTGTGATGTACTCTTTTTCTTACCTTCGATGTACAGGTTTTGGATCAGAATTTGAGAGTGAATGGGATGGCGGCATCCTAAAATACTTCTGTGACCAGACCTGCAAGGGACAGAATGGAGGGAGGCTGTGCCGGTCCTCAGTCACCAGGCCGCGTGGCCTGGAGTGGTACAGGAGGCCAAGACCCAGGACAACTAGATATGTTGGAGAAAGCACATGAGTTCTTTCAGACTTGTGATGTGGAGGGCAAAGGCTTCATCACTCGTCATGACATGCAGGTAAAGCAAAGCTGGCTGAGTAAAATGATGCAATGCAAAATTCCTAGGCTCCTAAAAGAGTTAATAAGGTGAGATCTGGTAACTTAAAAACTTAAGAAAAGATAAGCTAAAGAATAAGATATGTAATGTAAAAAGAATAATAATAATGTTGTGGAACTAAGGGATGAATTTTTGTACTTTTCCCCCATACAAACCAGCGATTAAAATGGAAACAGAAAGAAAATATACTGTTTAAAAAATTCAAGGGAACTGAGACACTTTTGACTTAAAATGGGACATCTCCATCTCCTTCACTGGAATTACTTATATTATACCCTAGAATCGAGAATATATTTTGTTCATCTATTTTTCTCATACACTTGTTTTTTTAACAAGTCACCTAAACCCAAACTATTGTTTTTGCTTTTCCATCACCATTGTACCCTACTTAGTACAAACAAATAACATTATGTTGTTTATGTCCATGGATTCTAGTGTTAAGCAAATGTTTTGTTGAAGTATTTTTAAATTTAAGGGACTTTGATCTTTTTAAAGTATATGGCAAAAGTGTATTGTACTTCACTGAGAACAGGATCAGGCCCATATTGTAGAGTTACTTATTAAGATGGATGTTCAATCCATAATTTTATGGAAACTAGGATCCTATGCAGTGGATTTCTTCAGTAGCTCACATCTGACATGCAGGGTATTGCTTGGGTGTATTAATCAGTTTTTACTTTAGTGTTAATAGATGACAAAAAATGAAAGTATCAGTGCATCTCCAAATTTTAAGAGCTAAAATGGCTTAAACAAAATTTTAGGAACACTTCAAATCTTCAAGCTCAAAGACGTTTAATTTGCCATGCTTTCCAACGCACAGGACTTGCCTGTGTATAAAACATACTTCCCAAAAAAGGAACATAAAGTTATGGAAAGAGAGGTTTTTAATATACATTTGATTTGAATTTTGGTCCAGTTTTATTACAGTGATTCAGTAATATTTGTAATACAAGATGCACTTTAATTTTAGGCATACATTTTCATGGGAAAAATGCATCTTCTACACAGGGAAAATATGAAAACAACAAAAATCCAATTAAAACAATACATATTATATAAAAAACAAAATTTGATGCTAACATACTTGACTTATTACTAACTGCAGTTTTTTTGTTGCAGGCCAGTGTCCTTATGGATTTTTTACTTACCTGTTTTACTTACAGCTAGTGGAAATGTTAGAGCAGAGCTGTAGTTCTGATTACCCTCTGTATGCTCTCCCACTGGAGAAATTAAGCTCATAATAGAACTTTGTGGGATTGGACCCTGAGGCAGTTTCTTCTATCATCATCCTATTTTACTGTAGTATAAGAAGTAAATATAACTGAATCTGTAATACACATGAGGCTTTTTTTGTTTTTGAGTTTTACTAGTTGGTATCTGCATGGACATTTTAAGAGAGATTTATTTCCATTCAATTCTGTGTTTTTCTCTGAGAGGGAAAGCAGACCCCTGAGCTTGTAAGCTTTGGAAAGGGGTGATGCAAACCCTGTTTGAATTGCAAAGAGAAGAATGCAATATTTTTCTTTGATTTCACAATGTGAGTTACTGTTTCAGGGTGGTTTAGCAGTTTGAGCTTTCTCTGCGAGTAAATGTCCAATGTTAAAAATAAGAAAGAAAAGGTTTTGGGATTCAATAACCTGAGACCACTTGAAATGGTGTTGCTTTATGCTCCCTTTTGTTTCCAGCTAAGATGATTAAAGATTACATTTCAAAAACAACCCTTTTGCAAATACTGGGTTGATGCTCCCCTCTCTTAACAGCTGAGCAAATTGAGAGCAATTCTACCCATAACAGTGTAGTTACACAGGTGTAAAAACAAGGCGGGATTAGCTTCTTTCCCTTTGATTTTGTATTCTATCTGAAATGAAATGTTAAGCATTAAAAATATACAAGGCCTAGGAAACTAAAGTAGCAGTTCCAGCAACAGTATTAACTGAGACCCTTCAGCGAGCCTGGCCTGAAGTCAAAGGTAGTTTCTGATCATCCCATCCAAATGTACAGAGTAGGTGTAGTCTGCTGATCATTTATAGATTCAGACTAGGGGAATTTTGCTGTCATTAATTAGGATCTCATTAAAGTCAACGGAACACAGATTTTTACCATATGTCCAAACCTGCGGGTCAGTTTCTGATCATGTTTGTATACTCAACAATTCCCAAAACTTTTTTCTTTGATTTCAGTGATGTTACTACATACTAAGCCATAACTGGGCTCAAAACCTCTCCCTAGACTTAAATCTGTTGCTCAATGCACTTAGCCATATTAAGTGAAAGACCTCTGATGCTCAGAGAGTAGCACTTCTATTTTTCTGAAACTAAGTAGAAAGGAATTCACTTGATTAACTTACCCAGGTTCACTCCCATGGTAGCTATTGGTATTTGACAGAATGATGATATTTTCTCCCTTGTTCTGAGCAGTTAGCCGAAATTGGGCGCCTTGCAGTGTTGTGTGTAAGTGAGACACTGCTCATGAGTCAAGCATGTTTCTGGGGCTTGTTCTGATGTATTTGCCCACAATGTGAACAAGGATTTCCTAAGCACAGTGGAAACAAGCAATTGCAGGCAATTTCCTTCCTCTGAAATCTGGTGTTCCACTCCAGAGATGTCTGGGCCCAGGTAGTTCTGTCTCTGTGCTGCTGCTATTGCTTATGGCCATTTTTACTTTGCTGGCTCAATCTCTCCTCCCTTTACAGCTCACAGTGAGTATTCTAGCCTAGCATTTCTCAACCCATGGGTTGCAACCCAAAAGTGGGTCACAAGAATATATGAGAGGGTCACAAGCAAAACTGGATTAACAAACTTTAAAAATAGATTCTCCTTTAGAGGAGAAAAACCTTAGGAAAACCGTGGCTTTTCACTTGCAGGCTGGCAGAGTTCCAGCCTGCAAGGGGCTTATAGAGGCTGCTTGGGCTCTTCCCTGCCCCACACACCCACCCCTTGCCCCCGCACAGTGGGGAGCGAGGGGCTGGGGCCTGGGGTTTGCGGGGGGTCAGTGGGTCGGGAGTGAGGGGCACTGGGTTGGGACTGGCTATCCATGTTAACATATGGGTCCTGGTACAAAAAATACTGAGAACCACTGTTCTAGCCAATGTGTTTGCAGCCAGGGAAGCCCTTGTGAATACAACGGATTCACCTTTCTCTCTGCTAATGTCTGGACAGTTGTCCTTATTTTCTTCTATCAAGGACATTGTTCTGCATTTCTGTGGAGTCTTTTTATATGAAGAACAGAAAGTCATTTGAACAGTTAGGGAGAGATTCGAGCTTTTGTTTTTGTGCCTGTATTTACTTAAGAGGCAAGTTCTAATCTGTCAGGTGATCCTGTAAAAATGGTTTGGTGAGGTTCCATTGGTATTTGTCTCTGACAGTGCATGTCCCCTCCCTTCAAAGGTATGACTGTGAGTCATACAGACTGAGCTAGCTTTATATGAGCTGGCTCAGGTACAAGTAATGGTGTGGCCACAGAAAGTAATGGTGTGGCCACAGGAGCACCAGTGTTATGCTGTAGACTACAAGACCTGCTGAAGACCCTGACTAGGTGATCTAGTCTCCACTGATCACCATACACATGCTCCAAGCTAGCTTTTACATGGCATACACTTAATGATTCCAGGGTGGAAACACCAAGCAAAATGCTTACTTGCTTTTTAATTGCCAGCAGTGCATAGTAGGCCTAGTATTTGCATCCTGTCTGTGACCAGGGGGGTTTGAACCCCTTTTCCAGAAGAGCACCTTAAACACCATGCTTTAGGATATACTGAGGTAACTCATAGTCTCCCCTATTTACACTGTTTCCCCATAGGTGAAATCCATAAATATTTATTGAGCCAGAAAGAGAATGAGACTGTATGTTAGTAGGGAGGGTGCTTGTGCCTGTTCTAGTGTACAGGCATTTAAGTATTTAATGGGCACATCTACACACAATGCTGACTGCACAGTAGTAATGAGCTACTACACAGTCAGCGTCACCTAAAAGCCATTCAGCGATGCTGCTGCACAGTAACGCTGGTTACTACGCAGTCATTTAGTACTTGTTTATATGAGTACTAAATGAATCTGCAGGTAATGATTGCGTAGTCAGTCGCCGAATCTACATGAGACACTATGTATTTAGGCATTTAATATGAAGTGGAACATCAACAGGAAAGATTGAGGTTCATGCACCCTCCTCCCTACAGGTAACCTGTGACCTAGTGATTAGGGAGGCCACTTCCTTTTGTTGCTGATATGAGTTCATATTCCCCCTCAGGCATGGGAACGTTTTGAGCCTGAGTTTCCTGCTTCCTTGTTGAGTGTTCTCACCACTGATCTGTTGCATAAAAAGAACTGCTGCTTCCTCCCCTTGCAGTCTTGTGAATTGTAGCCTTTGGTGTTATTCTTATAACTGCCCCAAACTGAAATGCTTAGACAGTTCTGATATGATCTGGTTTATTAGGATGAACAGACCCTTTCATCAGGCAATTTTTTTGTTTGTTTTTCATTTCATTGAGAAAAATGGGAAAACATATTTCAGGATTGTTGTTATTATTGATGTTGTTTTTGTTGTTATTGCTTTCATTGCTGCTGGTGTTCTTTTCAGTTTGTTGGCTAAACTGAAAAATCAGTTAGTGACATGGCTCTAGTAATGAAACAGCTTGATCTTGTCCCGTGGGAGACAAATTGAAGAAGAAAACAAGATGTTTCACTTTACAAATTAAAGTAGCAACTGCTGTGTTAATACATTTAGAAATAAGATAAAATAATAACATTGAAAAATATATCATTAGATTCAAACAACATACAAGGCAGGCAAGGTTATTTGGGTAGATGTGATATCTTTGATTAGACCAACCAGATAGTTAGGCGTTGGGAGACTCTGCATATAAAGTTAAAAAGGATCAAATCAGATGATCTAAAATAAAATGAAATACAAACTAATTTAAAAATAAAACAAAATGATAGACCATTAAAGAGCAATAATAATTAAATAAAAAAATTAGAAATGTCAACACTGACTTGTTTAATTTTGACATTTTCAAGATTTTTCCAGAATTCTGATTTCACAGAATGCTTTGAAAATTCAACTGTTTCAAATGATGAAAGGATGAAAAAAGTAATTTAATAATATCCCATGAAATGGAAGTTGTGAATGTTGGCCAGTTTTAATAATGGCACTGTAGCAGGGAGCCATTCCCAGACCTGTCTGATGTTGGCCCGACCCTCTGTTTCTGGGCTAATCACCCACCTTTCTTTCCTGCCATGCCTTGATGGAAAAAATAATTATGATGTTACTCAGGATCCCAGCTGACTTCCTGCCTTTGGGCAGGGGGCTGGACTCGATGATCTTCTGAGGTCCCTTCCAGCCCTAATGTCTATGAAATCAAACAGGAGGCTGCCCATTTACTACCCCAACACCAGGGATCACTATCCACCACTCCAAACCTTCCCTACATAGTGGCCCATGCCTTGCAGATAGTATGTAAAGAATATCACCTTTCATTCTTATTTGGCCTTGCACAGCCTCTTGTCCCTTTCTAACGTTGGGCTCTCTGCAGCCCTGCCTCCGTGCCTTCTCTGGCGTAGAGCTCTCTACAGTCATATCTCTGCACCCTCCCTGGCGCTGGGCTCTCTGTAGCCCTATGTCCGTGCCCTCTCTGGTGCTGGGGTGTACACCGCGGTGTGCCCCTATGAGGCCTCTTGTTCCCCAGTTAGCCCCATCACGGTCCACCAGAGTAAAATACAACAAAAAACCCGAGCCCCTGGGCTATAACATAACACAACAATCCAATTCTCACATTCTCTCAAAAAACCCCTAAACTTCCCCCTTAGCATCGATGCCCTCTCAGCCCTAAATACCTTCAGGGTTCCTAGAGGCCTAATATTCCATACAGGCAGCAAAACAGGCAACCAGACATCTGCATGGAACTTGTCTGCTTGAGCTCCTTCACTCTTGGCTGCTGTCAGAGGACTGACTTCTGCCAGCCTCAGCCCTGGGACTTATATGTGCCCAGAGCCCTATCTCCTTCCGGTCAGCTGACCGGCCTGTGTGGTTGGGCTTTTAGCCCCTGCCCTTCTGGTACTTGGTGTTTCTAAAGACTTTGGTCTTAAAGGGGCCGCCCTGCCTCCTAGTGACAGGGCTAGGGTTCCCTGTTACAGGGACCAATCCTCATGATAACTTTTAGAGTTATAATTCATGTTGGTTTAACCTGAGACTTGAACTGTTTCATGTAAGGATGTCAACAACTCTGCCGAGTCGGCATAGAGAAGGCAGAGGAGTTTAGGCTGGGAGATGTAAAGGGAACCAATAGCAATCATATTTTTCTAAAGATTTGGTTTACCTCATCAAAATTAGTTTTCTGTGGGGGTAGTTCCCCCCTTCTAAGTTTAAAGTAATCTGCAATTGATACATAAAAGCCCCTCAGAGAAGAATAATGTATTAATGAAACTATGTTTTTCATACTTAAAAGAAAATGCTAAGAAGAAAGATAATGTGGAAAAACTGAAACATTTTATGTGAGAAACTTCTCCAGGTATTGACCTAGTGTTCTGAATTATTGGGGTTCTTGATCTCCAGATTCTTCTCTAACACTTTTTTTGTAATGCATGGTGTACCTGAGGCATGGTTTCTCATTTCAGAGACTTCATGGGGAGTTGCCTCTTAGTCTAGAAGAGCTGGAGAAGGTTTTTGATACCCTGGATACTGATGGCAATGGTTCACTTACCCCGGAGGAGTTCACTACAGGATTCAGTGAGTTTTGGAATGCAGATCCTTGTAAAGCTCTATGTGCTTTGTAAAGCTGTAATGCTTGGTACTTCACAGAGATAAGGAGACAATGTTCATAGTCTGAGGACCTTCTAGCTTAGTTCTGAGGCATGGCCAAATATCTTGAGACTGACTCAAAGCATGCCAAGCATCATGTAAAAGATAGCTGACTTGGCTACTGAAAGAAGTATAGCTGCAGCAGCACTAAGCTTGGTGCAGGCCTGTTTTACTCTGCAGAGAAGGTACTTCTGTGACTACAATATCAGCATACCCTGACCATAGTTCTGATCTGCCTTTATAAAAATATGTCCTCTATTAAACAATTGCATTCTGTCAGACTTCTGAGCAGGTACCCAAAATAGGTTTCACCATAAAAGCTACCAAAAAAAAGAACTTAATAGAGAATGCTTTTGAACTACACTTGATCAAAAACTTTCCATCAGAAGTCTTTTTCACAGAAAATCAGTTTTTAATTAACTGTTTTCACAAACAATATCTGTGGAAAAATTTAGATTTTTCATAAAACCCTTTTTATTACTTGAAGTTGGAAATCCAGCTAGGGTGTTTCCTGGATGCCATGGGCTGGATTCCACAGATTGTCCCAATTCTGTAGGCCTGGGGCAGGCAAAATACAGCCCATGGTCCAAATCTGGCCCACCGTGCACTTTTTCATCTGGCCTGTGGACACCCATCAACAAACTGTATCCTGCCCAGCCCTTCCGCCTATGAGGGTGGGAGCAAGGCACTTGCATATATACACACACCCCACAACATATCCTCTTGTACCTTACTTCCACCTTCATGGGCGGAAGGGCCGGGTCCAGCCAACAGCAGCTTCTGGGAGGGGCTGCTGCTGCTGCAGCCACCATGGGGGAACCTGCTTGGCTTCTCTGGCATCCTGTTTGCTCTGGGCAGCAGATAGGGAAGTGGCGGGGTTGAAGTGGGGAGCTGCAGCTGGGTGGGAGCAGGGAGTGTGGGGCTGGGGCTGTCGGCAGCGTGGAGCCTGCACCCTGGGGGCCAGCAGGACTGCAGAGCTTGGTTGGGCAGGGTGTGGGTGTGAGGGAGAATGGGGGGATATGGTGACTCCCCACACATTCCCCAACAGGATGCAGAGCCCCCTCTGCCAGCAGCACCAGTGCTTGTGCCCTGCGCAGGCACTGGCTCCCACTAGTGCACAGCTTTGGCTAGTGCTGCGCTTGCGGTTGAGGAGCGCAGCCTGCCTTGCCCGCCTCTATTGCAGGGGCTCCGCACAGCATGCATGCAGGTCCCATACTCAAGTGGCACTAGGGGAAGCCCCGTGCTGGAACCGGCTGCCTTCTCCGCCCCCTGCTGCACAGGTCCTGGGACTCTGCTGGAAGTGGAGGGGAGCCCTGGCCCCTACTTCCCCGCACAGCCTTGGGACCTATGCAGCAGGGAGCAGGGAAGGCAGCTGGCTCCAGTGCGGGGCTTCCCTTGGTGCCACACAGGCTGCACACATGCCTCATGGAGCCCCTGTGATAGAGGTGGCCTGGGAAAGCTGTGCTCCTTGACCCCATGTGCAGCACTGGCTGGAGCCAAGCATTACTGGGCGCCAGCACCTGCACGGGACGCAAGCATCCTGAGCGCCCTAGCCTGCTGCTGCTGCTGGCAGAGGGGATTGCGCATTGTGTGGTGGGTCCCCACACCCCCCCACCCTCCCTCACACCCCACAAACCTCACACACCCACCCCTTGCCTCCCACCCCCAGAGACCATATACAAGAGTAAGACTTTATTTTTTAGTTATTATGCATTTCCCCCTGTATACAGTACACAAAAACAAATCATGAGAAATATTTTTGTAATAAAATTAAAATGTAGTAGGTGTTTGACGTTTAGTGCATGATTTGATTTTTTTTTTTTTTTTTCTGTTTCCAAGATGGTAACCCTCGCCTCCCAAAAGGAGTATTTCCAGGGGCCAAGGAGAGGGACTTCCAGTGGCAAGGGTTAGGGGGTGGGACTTCTAGTCCCAATGGGGTGACTAGGGGATGGGGCAACTGTCAGGGGGTGGGGCTGCCCATGTGGCCCTCGACAGTTCACCAAAGCTCGTTAAGCAGCCCTCCAGCCAATATAGTTGCTTGCCCCTGCTCTAGGCTAGATAACATTTCTCAGGCTGTACCCTGGTAAAACACTCCCATGACCTATTGCCTCCTTTGTCCAAGTGGGATGGGGCTGTGGTGCATCCCTGGAAGGTTAATTTGACCAGGGACAGGTGAGGCTCCTAAGTTAGGAAGCTCTTGAGGAATTCAGGCAACTTCTCTAGATCAAAATGGTTTAATTTTTTAATTCTAAATTTCTACAGGGGAAAAAAACAATATTTTCCATGGGAAAACTTGCCCTCCCATCCCTAGCCTTCCCAGCCTTTTTTTTCCTGGCCAGTTCTACTTATAAAGGTTGATGCTGAAATTCTGTGGGGGGAGAGAAACATATTTTCAGAATATCTGTGGGGCTTGCTCAGGCTCCTAGTGGAAAAAATGATGATCTGGATCATTTAGGACTGGGGTCTTGAAGATGAAAAAGAAATTGGTTGATCCAGGCAAAGAAGGATAAAGGATGACATGGAAAAAGACATGGAGTCAGGAGTAGGGAAGGTGGATGGAGAGAATATAGAGAACAAGAAGGTGAGGAGGACCAAGTCAGAGCAGCAGTGTTGTATGTTTCATGATCTGGACTGGTGGTACTCAGCCTTTTGGCTCTGCAGGCTGGATGAATGGTCCAGGGCCAGTCCACATACTGAATGGAGTCCTGTGCATCAGAATCCAGCCTTAGGACCTGGCACTGGCACCACCTCCTCCCTGCCCTGCACTCCAGGATTGGGCCCCAAGGGCTGGGCACTGTCACACCCGCAGGCTGGGATTGGACTCTGGGGGTCTGGTATCACACCTTTCGACTGGGATTGGGCCCCAGGGGGCTGGCATTGCCCCCCATGTGCTGGGATCAGGCTCTGGGGCCCAGCATTGCCTGTGCCTGGCCCTATATGCTGGGATTGTGACTGATCCAGTGTACAGGGCTTGAGCTCCCCATGAGTCTGGAAATTTAGCAGCAGGGGGATGGTGCCACTGCTCCCTGGCTGCCAAATGTCTAGAATTCTGGGGAGCCCAGTGGGCCAAATAGCATGGTGCGGCAGGCCAAGTCTGGCCCACAGGGCAGAGGTTGAGCACCCCAGACCTATACAGGTTTCTACAGAAACACAGGACACTAAGGGTAACTGAATAATTGAGTCCAGTCATCTGCTATTGCAAGGAACCAAATTGCATATTATCTTTCATCAAACAATCAAGGTCTGACTTAGAAGTAGTTATTTTTTTTTATCCCCACTTCTCCCCCTACTGCTCTCTGATAATTAGCTAGAAACCCTTTTGTTTACCAGCCTGAATTTATTCATGGTCAGTTCAAATTGTTTGTTTTTGTTGCCACCATTGTCCTACAATTTAAGCTCTTCTCCCTACCTGGTGTTTTATTCCTGTTGTGTTTTATAAAGAAGCAGACATTCTGTGAGGCTTCATTTTGCTAGTCTAAACGGGCAAAGCTCTCTTATCTTCCATTTCTCTGACCATCCTCAAAGCCATTCTTTGCACCTGCTCCATTCTGAGTTCATCCTAATTGACCATGAGTGAGTGCAGTGGTGCACAGCATTTCAGATGAGGTCTTGCTAGCACCTTGCAGAATGCACTAGTACTTAGGAACATAGGACTGGAAGGGGCCTCCTGGGCCATCAAGTCCAGTCTCCACATTTCTCAAGCCCTACTGAAAACCTCTTCTGATTCGCATCTTAGGGTCACATTTCACTTCCTGTCCCTCTTCCCCCAAGGCTACAAAACACTGGTGGCATGTGTTAATTTTGTGATAAAACATTTTTCCTCCTCAGTCTTTTGCAGCTCTTGGTTTTGGTTTGTAGCAGAAGTTCCATGTGATCTTTTGTACAGTAAAATTTCATTCCATTTATATTTATTACTCTAGTCCTCAAATTCATCCTGTGCTTCATGCATAGCATCCCCATCCTCTGCTGTAGTGATGGTGCCTCCCATATTTGTGTCACCAGGAAATTTCATGAGCATGCTCTTGCTTTGACTGCCAAGATCAATAGTGTAAATCAGAGGTTTTCAACCTCTTTTAAGGAGTGTATCCCTCTGGCCCCTTTCCAAGTACCCCTGGGGGTACGCATACCCCTGGTTGACAGCCCCTGGTATAAATGACTGATTCTTGAGATGCTCCACAGCTAATCTCCCCTGCAGCTTAATATTTCCCCCTTTACCACTACTTAAGTTCTCTTCTCCTTTGTCAGTTCCTCACCCACCTCAGTTCTTGTCCTAATCTCCTTCTGTACCTTAGCGAACAATTTCCCATGAGCCACAGTAACATGATACCCATGTGCATCATAGATGTGTATACACCCATGATTATATAGCATAGGGAGTGGCCTATATACCATAAAAAGCAGAGGAAAAGCATACAAGCTTGTCAGCAAACAAGCAAGTCATATTTAAAACACAAAAGCTAAATGAGGCAGTGGCTTCTGAGTCAGCAGTGTTCTGCTACAGATCTCTAGGGAATCCGTGACAAAACAGTAAGCTATCCAGCATGAGAGTAGTGTCCTCCCCAGAGCCATCAGTGACAGGAGTTTTCCCCAACACCCTAAACATCACTGGTCTTGGCAGGGTAGATCAAGCCACACCTGAACCTGTTAATCTGGTTGATTCCAAGGGTAAATTGAGAGCCCCCAGTCAGGTAGGCATTTAGTCAGCCAGGTGCTGATGTGGCAGTTTCTCAAGGACGCTTCAAAACAACGCTTCACAAGATGAATATCTTGGACAGCCCTCTGCATGAACGTTGTGTCCAACAAACAGCACATCACCTAATTGAAAGCTGCAATCTTTACAAATGCCCAGACTGGGTAGATGGAATCTGCACATTGAGCGATAATACCAGGCAGTGGCTCATAGAGCTGGAAGTTGCTTTCTGACGCCATAGGAAAGAAGTTTCTCAGTGCAGTAGAGACTTCCTCTTACTTGGTCACAATGAGCTGCTGATGTTCTTAGCTGGCTGGAGAATGTGCAGTGCTATCCAGTTAGGACTTCTGCTAGACCAGTAGGGGCTAACCTTTTTTAATCCCAAACCCTTCCTGATTGCTACACTGATTCCCTTTCCCTGCCCAATCAGCTACTTTGCTTTCTGCTCCCTGCCCTGTGCTTCCCGTCTGATATGCTGCTTTGCTTTCTGCTCCCTACCTTTTCTGCCAGTATGCTGCCTGTTCCTTAGCCAGTCTGCCTCGTGCCGTGCACAGAGGCTGCCCATGCCACAGGTTGGCCACCCTAAACAAACAGTAGTTGAACAGATCCGAGTGTCCTTGAACTGTGGTGAGTGTGGCATTTGCTCTACCATGGTGATCAGTTGGCTGCCTGTATTCTGACATCGGATGCTAGGTGGAAAGATGTGGCATAGTACCAGTAACGACACAAGCATTGACTGCAGCATGTCCATGGTGATTTGCATAGTGTGCCGAAGTTGTATATCTGCTAATCTGATGACAGCAAAGTTTAACCAAATTTGAGCACGATGTTCTTCACTGAGGATCGGAGAGTAAGCCCCAACCTAATTAAAATTTCAGCTCCTTCAGAGTGTTAGGAAGGTCAGACAGCGGTATTTTGGAAGTTTTTAAGAGGAAGTTAAACAGACACTTGTCTAGGATGGTTTGATAGGGATGATCTTGCTGGGGGGTGGAGGGGGTGCGGGCACGAGGGCAATGACTAGATGACATCCTAAGGTCCCTTCCAACCCTGCTTTTCTATGATTCTGTGCAGCATTTGTGTGTTGGGTTCCCCAGGTAGATCCTGTCTATTTGTTCAGGAGACTTTTTGCTGCTGATCTTCCAAGCTACTTTAGTGATGAGATATTTGTATATCTATGTGCAGATAGATTAGACTTGCCACAGTTCCTTTCTTTAGAAAAATCCACTAACGAAGGAAAATGTCAAGCTAGTCTGGCATGACCCACCTTTGGTAAGCACATCATATTTTATGCAACATGATTTCCGTCAAAATTTGGTCTAAAGCCTTGCCCACTGTTGATGTCATCCTAATGTACCTATCCTTGCATGGGTCACTCTCCTACCCTCCCCCCCACTTATTAAATATAGCTATTGCACTTGCTATTTTCTAGTCGCTTGGTACCACCAAACTAAAACTCCTTGTCAGTGGCTATGGAGTTTTATGGGACAGAATTATTTCCAAATACCAGGATCAAGGTTACCTGGTCCTTCCTACTTAAAACCCATTAAACTATGCCTCCTTTTAAAAAAAAAAAAGTTTAAAGGTGACAAAATAGTCCCAAAATAAGAAAAAATATTATTATTGGATTGGCACTAAATGACACTTTAGGTTCTGCTAACAAAAAAAACACAAAAAAGAAATTAGTTTCGTTTGGTCCTGTGTAAACTAGTATTTTTCCCAAAAGTTCTTTTTGTTTGGAAAACTCTT